AGTTAAAAACAATTTTAATAAAAACAAACCTGATTTTAAAAAACTTGAATGTTTAACTACATTCAAAAATTCATATGCTTCTTTTGTTAAAACATTATATGTTTGCTGTTGAAGAAAAAAATCCAGAATACATAATAATGTTGTTTTAGTTAAATACAACAATTTAAATGTCTGTCTGGTGATGTTCTCCTCCTAATACAGCATGGCAAGAAAATCCTCCAAATATTAATGATTAACCTATTGAATTGGAGATAGTTAACCTCCCAATGACTTCATAAATATATGCTTAAATTACCTTTGGTAAATGAAATAACCAATCATTCATTTTGATACAGCTGTAAAACTAATCTGAAAAGTTTTCAAAATAAATCACTGTTTAAAAATGTATAGTGTGTACCTTCTAAAAATGAAACCTACATCTATATGTATTAAGGTTATAACAACCAAGAATGCACCTTTATGTAAAAATCCATGATTAAATTGAGACTTCCTGACTAGTGATTTAAATCAATCATGATTTAAAGCTATTTGATTTAAATCAAATCCACCCTGCCTGGCTCCAAGGTAAGGGGTCTTCAAGCCCTGAGAAACCCTGCTCAGAGTTTCCTGGTAGGAGCCCAGAAGCCCTCAGAGCCACAGCTGAGCTGGAAGCCTCAGAGCTTAGGTGCCTAGTCACTGAGATTCAACTTCCTTTCACAATTTTTGAAACAAAATACATTTAAATTATTTCCAAAAGAGTTTAAGGTTCTCCCCTTTTGTGAGAAATTTCAAATTCTACATTTTGCTGCAAAACAGAACTAAATTTGTTTTCAAAATTTTGGAATTTCCCACAGAAGGAAATTTTGACTTTCAGCCAGTTCCACTTGTCAATTCCTACTACTTGTCAATAGATGGCACTAGAGACCATTGCTGTCATATTGAAAAAATATTACACATTTTAATGGAAACATTTACAAGTGTGGTTTCTGTAGCAATTCCACTTAAGATTGTAGATTGCTAAATGAATATGAAAATGCAAGTCATATGACATCTTACATCTGTAATTAATTGTTATTTATCCTGAACGCTGATAATATGCTCAGCACTGCACAATAAATTCATTTAAAAAATCATTTTGAGGTCATCGATTAGCTACAATTCAACACCATATTGGATGTTTTAGGGTACTACTCTGTGGAAAATAATAAAGTTGTGCCAAACTCTGTGGGTCTTGTGACACCATAAGGTTTAAAATATCATGGGGGAATGTGACAGATGTAATTTACTATCATGTTCAATTTAACTTTTTTTTTTGGTTAAGAACCATATGAACTCTCTGAAACCTATGAACATATATTCTTTCTAAACATTAATTGCAGGCATAACTGTAACACCCTCTCTCTTTGGACATGAACACGCACGATACTCAAGCTATTTACAAGCTACCATTAACTAACTCCTAATAGCTCCCAATAACTAACTAAAAAGATTGCATAAGGAGAGAAAGTTAGAAAGAACAATGTCTAAAATGCTATCCTGATATATTTAACCTGACACAATTATGTTAAAATATCAGTATGAGCAATAGAAGTCTTGTAAAACATCCAGTGTAACTAATGTGAAATTAATCACTTTAAAAGTCAGTTATCTTCAGTTAATTCTGCAGCACTAGTTATAAAAAACATTTCCAAAGCTGTAACTGGATACATGAATAAAAATGCTTCAGGCACTACAGAGGATGGTAAGCAAAGACATGGACATGTTAATTTCACAACCATACAAATGAGTAAGAAACATTGTAAACAAGCAAGTAGAAAGTAAAAGATAGGCATTGAAAGATTTGTATAGTACATTCATAAATTTCTAAGATCTTGAAAACTATTTCAGTATTTAAGGGCTGATCTTTGTAGTTCATTAGTAGTAAGAAAAATATCATACAAATGTCTTAGGCTTGGTCTACACTACAGAGTTAGGTCGATGTAAGGCAGACCTAATTATGTCAGTGTACACACTACAGCCATTGTAAGTGCCCTACTAGACCGCCATAAATCTATCTCCACAAGAGGCATAGGGCTTATATTGGTGTAGTTAGAGCGATTCAGTGTCCCTGTAGCCACTATACTTACACTGGCTGTTGACTGACAAGAAAGCTGGGCTGTCACAGCTGCACGCCCTGGTGCTGCACAGAGGCTCCCAGCTACCCACTCCCTGTGAGGAGTGCTGGTACTGCTTGGAGGTTCTTGGCTCCCGGCTGCTAGGAGCCCAGCTTTCCCCCCTGCCCCGGCCCCGGCCTCTCAGCTGGGATCCCAGCGGGGGAGTTCTATGTCCTGAGTCTGGGCAGCTCCCAGCAAAGAGCCTTGGGGCAGCCGCCGGGGAACCTTGGGGCAGCCACCAGACTCCCTGTGGGGAGCCCAGGGCGCAGCCTGGCAGGGAGCCGAGAGCCGGGCTACCAGTGCCCACACTGCCCCTTAAATTAGATTGCACACCACTCACAAGAGGAAGGTAGCGTGGATATCAAACACGGCACTAATCACTGCTGTGGTTGTATGTCAACCTAACATAGGCTGACTTATATTTTTTAGTATATATGTGCCCTTAGACTTCATACTTGGCAGATTCACATGATATGCTAAGCCTGGATATTTCCCTGTGCTGCTGTATTTTCTTTTGAATGAAACCAAACTATTCTAATGCACCTCCAATTAATTCATGCTGTTTATTACATTTGGAGCAACAGGTAAACAAATAGCTGCTCTGGAGGGATCTGTTCTGTAACCAGTCAATCCTGGAAAGGCTACATATGCATAGAGTTAAGCACTTGTTGAAATTTACATAATAATGGCCACACTGGGTCAGATCAGTGGTCCATCTGCTGTGGCAAGCAAAAAAAAAAAGCCCAATATCCTTTCTTCTGACAGTGGCCAATGCCAGGTGGTTCAGAGGGAATGAACAGAACAGGCAATCATCAAGTGATCCATCCCCAGCTTCTGGCAAACAGAGGCTAGATGGTGTTGCATCCCTGCCCACCCTGGCTAATAACCATTAATGGATCTATCTTCCATAAACTTATCTAGTTCTTTTTTGAACCCTGATAGAGTTTTGACCTTCACAACATCCTCTGGCAAAGAATTCCACAGGTTGTCTGTGCATTGTGTGAAGAAGCACTTCCTTTTGTTTGTTTTAAACCTGCTGCCTATTAATTTCATTGGGTGATCCCTAGTTCTTGTGTTATGTAAAGGAGCAAATAAACACTTCCTTATTCATTTTCTCCACACCAGTCAAGATTTTATAGACCTTTGTCATATCCCCTTTAGTCATCTCTTTTCCAAGCTGAAAAGGCCCAGTCTTTTTAATCTCTCTTCATACAGAAGCTATTCCATAGCCCTAATCATTTTTGTTGCCCGTCCGGTACCTTTTCCAATTCTCATATATCTTTTTTGAGACAGGGCAACCAGATCTGCATTCAGTATTATATGGGTATACCATGGATTTATATTATAGAGGCATTATAATTTTTTTCATCTTATCATCTATCTCTTCCCTAACGGTTCCTAACATTCTGTTAGCTTTTTTGACAGCTCCCGCATATTGAGTGGATGTTTTCAGAGAACTATCCACAGTGACTCCAAGATCACTTTCTTGAGTGGTGATACCTTATTTAGATTCCCTCATTTTGTCTGTATAGTTGGGATTATGTTTTCCGATGTGCATTACTTTGCATTTATCAACACTGAATTTCATGACATTTTGTTGCCCAGTCACCCAGTTTTGTGAGATCCCTTTGTAACTCTTCACAGTTTGCTTTGGACTTAATTATCTAGAGTAATTTTGTATCACCTGCAAATTTTGCCACCTCAATGTTTACCTCTTTTTCCTGACCATTTATGAGTATGCTGAATAGGACTGGTCTCAATACAGACTCCTGGGGGACACCACTATTTACCTCTCCCCATTCTGAAAACTGACCATTTATTCCTATCCTTTGTTTCCTATCTTTTAACCAATTACTGATCCATGAGAGGATATTTTCTCTTATGACTGTTTACTTTGCTTAAGAGCCTTTGGTGAAGGACCTTGTCAAAGGCTTTCTGAAAATCTAAGTCCATATGTTTGCTGAACCCCTCAAAGATTGATAAGGCATGATTTCTCTTTACAAAAATCATGTTGACTCTTCCTCAACAAATCATGTTCACCTCTGTGTCTGATAATTCTGTTCTTTAATACACTTTCAACCAATTTGCCTTGCAGACTCACTGATTCCAAGCCTGTGCTTGAGCATACATAGACGTGAAGCCGGGCTCACAATGGAGGAGGAACCAGGTCTCACAGCCATGCTAATGCCTCCCTCCTGCTTGTAGCGCTACCCCACACAGACACACCTGCAGCACCTGCCTCAGAGTCTACTGTCTGGCTCAATTCACTCGGCTGCAGTGAACTGCAGAATTGAGACCGCAAATAACTTGTAGCATTTGTTATTTTATCAGATGCCTAACGTTAAAGAATTTTGCTTGCCACAGCTTTAGCCTGTAGCACCCTCTGTTGACAGGCTGCACATAATAATAAAGCGCCAAATAGCCCGTACCCAATATTTTCAAACGCGATTCACACCCGTGTACTGAAGCGAAGGGTGGCCTAGGCAACACTCAGCGAGCACAGGCACCTGAGCTCAGGAATGAAATCCCTGACCCAGCAGGCAGTTAGCAGGGGAGCAAACGCTTTGCATGGGGACCTGAGGCAGATCTGTAACGAGGCCACCGGCCCTCCCGTGCACCCGGGGAGGCTGCCATCGGGTGCCTGGGCACAGGCTGGGCTGCTCCCGCTCGTTCACGCCGGGTTACCCAGTGGGTGTCAAGGTGCCGCTCACTCTCCTCAGCCCCGCCGGCAGCAGCGCGCCGGGCAGCGAAGGGCGAGGGCCTGAGCCCGGCCACGGGTGACATGGCGGACGGGCAGCGGCGGGGGTAGCCCTGGCGCTGCGGCCGGGCGCCAATAGGCGCTGCGCCCCCGGGACGGGACTTTCTCACCTTGAACATCGCGGCGCCGCTCCCAACCGCGTCGCTGCGCGATGATGTCAGAGCCGCACAGCACACGCGCCGCTACGGAGGCCGAACGACAAAAACGGCTGGGAAAAGGGCGGGGATGGCGTGGTTTCCCCTCTCCCCCCACACACGTGTCCCGGTCTCCAGGCAACAGGGACGCGGGGGCGGGGCCTCTGAGTAGCCGGGTCATGCTGCTGAGCGGAGCCGCGCGCCGGGCGGGAGGTCTCTCGCGGCCGTGAGTAACCGCGGGGTCCCCCCTCCCCCCGCGTGTTCGGGAACCGCCGGCCTCGCGCGCTGCCCGCAGGAGGGAGGAGTTAGCGGGGCTGTGAGATCCGGGCCCCTCCATTGCCAGCCCGGGGTCCCCGCCACGCCGTGCGGACGCCCAAGCAGGGGCCTGGAAACAGCGAGTCCGCACGGCCGGGTCCCCTCCCCCCTCGGCTTATGTGCTGTGTGGACGCGCACCCCGTGTCTGTCTGTCCCCGCAGCTCGCTGTCCCGGCGGCTCCGCTCCCTTCCCCCCGAACGGCCCTGGCGGTGTCACCCACGGGTCCGCCTGTCGGGACCCAGCTGCTGTGAGCCCGGGTGACCATATTTCCCAAAGCAAAAAGGGGGCCCCCCCTACTGCTCGCCTGAGCGCCTCCCCGCCCCGCGTGGGGCTGGCATCTCCCCTCCCCCACCCCCGCATGTTCCTCCGCACCCCACTTTTTTGATAAAAGTGAGCAGTTGCCAACTGACCAAGTCGGCAGGAGCACACTGGACAAATGCCCCCTTCTGCCACACACACAAAAACAGGTCAGGACGGCTGGGACAGGGCTTTAGAAAAGGGACTGTCCCGTCCAAAACAAGACATACGCTCCCGCTACAGTGAGCGCAGGGGCTGGTGCTGATCTCGTGTCTCCTGCCAGGGCGGACGAAGAGCTCGCAGCTAAAATCCTCCAGCGAGCCTGGTGGAGTCACATCAACAGGAGGCTGTTCAGGCTGCTAACACACACCATCCGGGCCGCGGTATGCTCCTCCGGAAAAACCCTGCCCGTCCGCGCTGTAAACTACCCAGGGCTTTGCTACGGGGGGAACCTTACCAGCACAACTCTACCAGTGCCTGGGATACTGCTGGGGCAGTTACACCACTCCAGCTTCCTAGGGGGAGACACTTCTTGTGGAATGAGCTCAGAAAGCAGTAAAACCAAATTGAAAAAAAAAGACCCTCAAGGAGTTACACTGGTATAACTGGTGGTATAGTAATATCTTAACAGTTATGTTGGTAAATTCTCTAACAGTGCATTAAATAACCATAAATTATCTTCTCCAGGGTAATGCAGTTAGGGTGAAAGTCACTCCTGTGCAAATAGCCAGCACAAAGTCTATGCACCCTTTAAAGCCCATTAATCCCTCAGAAGTGTTCTGGCCCTCTTCACAGGGGTGCACAACTGTTTGCTGTAAACTTCACATAGTCCCTATTGATCTATCCAGGCATAGGATGTCAATAATTGCTGTCGTTTTTAGAGTAAACATGTGCTGTCCATAAAAAGGCCTACAGTACGTAAGAAATTGCTGTTTATGAAGGCTTCCAGTTTCCCAAATATGGATCTAACTGCTCTTACACCAGTTTTTTCTCAAAGAGAAACCAGCCTGATGTATCACTGTGCCACTGTCCAATTAGAAGCACCAAATACAAATGGTGATTGCCACAGTCTCTTCTCCTTGCTTATAATTCATGGCTCCATTTTATCACATAAACACATCAGAGGAATAATTACATATGCTCAGGAAGATCCCCCCTACTCTGCCAAAGGTGGAATGGGCTCCTGACTGATCCATCCCTTCTGAAGAGGAAAGTAGTATTTCCTGGAGAAGTACCAGTACCCAGGTCCAAATTAACCAGCAGGCACAAAAGGTTTGGCCTTAAGACCCTGAATTCCAGTGGAGCCCTACGCTAGAGTGATGAAACCCCTCAGCTGTAGCTTTTGGAGTTAGGGTAGTATCACTCTTCTGAATCTGCTATGCAGGCAAGCAGACAGGCTAGCTCCTATCTTCTTGGACAGTTCTCCACATTCTTTGCTCTTACTGTCTGTGTGTCTTACACTGAGCAGAGCAAATATTAGAGTGGATTCAGAAAAGCTGTTTTTCCTCCTGCAATAATGTCACTCCATTGAATGGAATAAAAGGCAAGAGACATAGGGAGGTGTTCAGAGAATGGGGTGGAGGGAGAGATTGTTGATAGTTTAAGAGCAGACGAAAGACAGACGGAGAAGGAAAGAAGATGAGCAACTAAACAGTTCGGGGATTTAGTAAAAGGGAGGAGCTAAAATTGTATGTGAGATGTATTTCCTAATATTTGTTGTTCTTATTGAAAACTACCTTGGTTTTTTTGTAGTGCAAAGATGAGAAAATAAAACTCATAACATTGGAAAGAAAGGGCAAAAAGATAACTTCAGTAGAGAAAAGAGTAACATTGGGTAAAAGAATAAAATGAGTAATAAAAAAGAAACAATATTGCAATTCTATAGTAACTGCCATTTAAGAATTTCAAAGCACTTTAAAATATTAATTAACACTCAACTCCCATGTGAAACAGGTGTGGGGTGTATTATTATAGGAACCAAAACTGCTCAATTTTACTGAATAATGCCTGCATCTGTTTCAGGAGCATTGCATTACATATGAGATTATGAGGAGAGTGAGTCCTTTAGAAGCTGAACTTATAAAAGATCCTAGTATGCAGTGTAAAGTCAGATTCAGGTAAAGTAGGCATATTTGTTTATTCAACCTAGCATATATGATGACTTTTTCTAAAGTTAACCAAAAGTGCCATCAATTGTTTTTATTATAGTGTCACACTAGCAATGTTAGAGTTGATAGGGCATGTTGTTTTAGGTCCCTAAGTTCAGTAATACTCAAATACCTTTTGGGCTAATATTTCTCATGTATTTTTACCTCACAGGTGAGTATTTTTGGAAAGTTTGATAAAGTTTTACTTGTTCATCTTAAAGTCACTGAAGCACGGAGTGGGGGAAATGATTTTTTTGTTTGTTTGCTTTGCTTTTTTGGGATGGGGCATTATTTTTGCAATACAGTAGAACCTCAGAGTTATGAACACCTTGGGAATAGAGGTTGTTCATAACTCTAAACAAAACATTATGGTTGTTCCTTCAAAAGTTTGCAAGTGAACATTGACTTAACACAGCTTTGAAAATTTACTATGCAGAAGAAAAATGCTGCTTTTAATCATCTTAATTTAAATGAAACAAGCACAGAAACAGTTTCCTTACCTGATCAAATCTTTTTTTAATCTTTCCCTTTATTTTTTTAGTAGTTTACGTTTAACAAAGTACTGTACTGTATTTGCCCTTTTTTTTTTTTTTTTCTGCCTGATTGCGTACTTCCAGTTCCAAATTAGGTGTGTGGTTGACTGATCAGTTCGTAACTTTGGTATTCATAACTCTGAGGTTCTACTGGAAGTGATTGTTTTTCTTGTTTTCTAAAAACTGGAATTTTTTGATATGTGGTGATTAACTTTTCATATTGAAAGCCAGACAGGTAAGTAGTCCTATGTATAGTAGAAAAATTTCAGATACTTTTATTGCACACCATAAGCTATGTTTTCTTTTTAAAAATGCAAACTTACTATGGACTTGGATCTCATCTAGAATTAGTGCTCAATACATGCCTGAGGAAATGTAATTTAGAAATAAAATTATCTATTTTGCATACACATACCATTATTTTTGCTATTTTTCTTTTTTACAACACACCAACATGCAGCACTCCAGATATAAATATATATTTTTAGACATTCAAATAAACATACTGGGCATAAGTTGTGCCCTGTGTGGAAACTGACATTGAGGGAGGAAGCTGGTGGTATTTGCAGTTTTCACTACTACGTCCATAGCTTCAGGCAGAAGAGAGCAGCTTTAAATTGCAGCCAGGCTTCCACAGAGAGCCTTTCCCCAGTGAAGCCTGACCAGGGGATGAGCTGAATCAGCATATTCACTAGCTGCATTGTTCATGTCCCTTCTCTGGCTAGTCTGCACTAACCAAGTACAGGTACCTTAACAAAGGGGTATGATGGATACCTTGCATTTCTGCAACTCCCATGCCCTCTGGGCAGACTTACTGCCTCCAATTGCTCTGCATACAAAATCTGAATCTCGTATTGTTTATTCATTGTGTGATCAATCAAACAAATGCATTTGATTTGAGTTTGTCCTTTAAAAAAATTAATTAAATGCTAAATGCAAATAGCCATGAATTTCCAGACTTGTTTCTACATTTAAATAAGACGTTTTAAAAGAATTATTGTGTTTAACAATTTTTAAACTGTCAGCATTTCAATTATATTATTCCATTTTGGCAGGAATTAAGATTCCAATCCTGCAATTTACAACACGTAGGTGGGCTGACTAAGGTTGCTAGGCATCCAGTTTTCGACCAGAATGCTTAGTTGAAAACGGACCCTGGCGGCTCCTGTCAGCACAGCTGACCAGACTGCTAAAAGTCCAGTTGACTGCAGGCCAGCAGCGGGGCAGGCAGACTCCATGCCCAGCTCCGCAGGGCTCCTGGGAAGCAGCTGGCATGTCCCTCCAGCTCCTAGGCAGAGGGGTAATCAGGGGGCTCTGCGCGCTACCCCCACCCGCAGGCACTGCCCCGAGCACGGTTCCACAGCTCCCATTGGAGCTGCCGCTTCGTGGGAGCACCTGAGGTCAGCACCACCCGGAGCCCGCACCCTGAACTCCCTCCCACACCCCAATCTCCTGTCCTAGCCCTGAGCCCCCTCCTGCACTCTGAACCCCTCAGCCCCAGCCCAGAGCCCCTCCTGCACCCCAAACTCCTCATCCCTGGCCCCACTCCAGAGCTGCACCCCCAGCCGGAGCTCTCACCCCTTCCTGCACCCTAACCTTCTGCCCCAGCCAGGAAACCCCCTCCCACACTCCAAACCCCTCGACTCCAGCCCCCCAAGCCCCTCATTCCCGGCCCTGTTACTAGTTTGGAAGGGATTCCAGGGATGATTTTTTTTAACGTATTAGTCTGTTTTAAATT